TCCTGCCGTCCCTTGCCAGGCAAGAGAAAGCTCTCCGTGCAGGCTTCTCCAGAAATGTTCCGGGCATCGGAGTTGAGAGCTCTTCGGCATGTTAAAAGAAAAGAAGTAACTTAGCCTGGCTGGGCTCGCTTATGTACTTCGCTCGCAATTTGCATAGTACAAGTGGTACGGGAGTACAAAATCACCTCGAACAAAATGCAATATATGCATTTTTGGAAGCAAAAGGAGACTGAGACGCTGGAGCACCGCATCCAGGCTCGTGTATGTCGTGGCCCGGGCAGCTGTTTTCTCCATCGTCAGTCAAATATCACACGAATAATCATGTGCACGATGCGATAGACGGGCTCGTCCCGTAGTTACTCCCGCTTCAATAGCTCGTTTTTTTTTTTTTTTTTTTTTTTTTTTTGTTCCCTTGTAACCCACGGCCTTGCGTTGCAGCATGGGGGTTTGGAACTGCTCGTCAGCGAACTAAGTATAGAAGGTAAGAGATTGACCGTTTATAATTAACTACATATATTATTAGCATATATAGGTCGGAACCAGACTTGTCAGCTCGCATAGGGATGTACGTACATATTATGTGCATATGTCTATGTATAGTTATATTAATTAGTTATTAATTATAGGGGTAAGCGATGCACACTGTTGATCGCGGGTTAAGTGCGGTGCATCATCGTATACTCAGCTAATAGCACAGTTGATATTACTGCTCTTTGCACCTCTGGGCTGAAAGATAGAGAGCTGAGCAGGTCGCTTAATCTCAAGTCACCTTTGCGCGCCCGCCCCTTTTTTCTTCCACCCGCCTACGATTATCGTGTAGAGGAGCTTTGCTCATGCATCATGCTCTTCCTCCTCTATCCCAACGTTGTACCATCCGGTCGATCGCATTTATGTATGACTAGCGCTGTGTGACGAGCCTGTCTTCCCCGGAGAAGTATGGCCTGTAGCTTCCGGCATCCCCTTTGCACTACCACCCATTAACTCTAGAGAGCTAGAATGGACAACATGAACCGTCTCTTGCTCGCCCCCCCCCCATCTCCCTCCGTCCAGCATCCAACTGAAACATCAATTGCCGGCCGGCAATAACATATAACCCATAAGAGATAGGCGGCATCTCGTATATGTATGGTTCCTTCTCATGTATTATGTATATGTAGTGACTCCCCCACCCCATTTTTGGCTTGCGTCGCCTAGCTCAGCAACGTCCCAACATATTCGGCCTTTCTTCCAAATCCAAACCACCCTGAGTAACCAGCTAGGCCTTCCCACTGCACCAGGAACCGGTCGACGAGAGGGAAAAGGATCTTTCCCGACAAACTCACGGTAGTCACGCGAGCCCAGGACTCGATAAATATCGTCCGTAGATATCGTCTGGTTCCACGGCGTTGATCTCGAGGCCCGGAGTGGGAACGGGACTCGGGGCCAGAGTAGGTACTAGCCTTGGACGTGGAAGAGATATCTGATCTGGCCTGGGGCAGGATGCGGCATACCAGCGGGTCGAACAGGCGGAGAAGTCGGGCGGCCACGACCACGCAGACTCCCGTGCCAGGCCCGTTGGTAAGAATGATGTCAGGATATCCGGGGCAAGGGGAGCTTGAAGAACTTGATTGAGCGGTGAGGATGAGTTGATCGGGATGTCTGCCCATAAGCATCAGCATGCAGAATCCGAAGCATTGCAGCGTAGTCAACGGCGCAGTCAGGAAAGATTGATGGACCCTCCTTGCGCGAGGGACAGTAATGATGGTATAGTTGCTGCTTTTACTCTCATCCTGGCTCGTTTCTCCACTGGTTTCAAGGTTTTTCTCATACTCGACGGCTTTCCTCGCGCTGAAGGCGTCTCCAGAGCTCACGATGTACGTACGTCTGATATACACCGCTGGGTCAAGCTCTGCATGTCTGAGCATGGAGAGCATCTCCTCCGTATGTCCTCCGCTGCCTAGGACAACCAGAAGATGGACTGGATGGTATGGCTGTCTCGCTTGTGCCTGGATATCTGTCTTGCCCGGCCAGAACATTGCCAACTATCCACAGGTTAGCCCATGTATTCGGCCTAGAAGAGGTTTCAACCGTACCGTAATCAAACAGATAAAGGCCAGCAAGGCCACGGCACCTGTGAGAACCGGATACTCCATGGCCAAAAGCAGCGTTCACCGGGGTATCGATGGCATCAATCTATCAATAACCGCCTGTCAATTGTTTGATGCAGCCTTTTATCCGTCGGCTGCGTGTCTCATCTCCTGGCAGCTAGCAGGCAGTTAACGTCCGACTACAATTCACGACCGGCGTCTCCTCCCTTCCAGCATCTTCAGCCTCCTGCCCGGTCCTGCTGGCTATTGTCTATTGTCCGCTGTTGAGTGCTGGTTGTTATTGACTGCCGAAGTGTTGTTGTTGCTCCGTCGGCGATTAACGAGCTAGCGCGCCTTAAAGCCGCCAACCGCCCCGAAAAGCGAAAAGAAAAGTTGACGATAACCCAAAAAAATAACTACTTAACGCCTAAATAATCATAATCATAATAACCAAAATAATAACAACCGCCTTCTATCACTCCACGACCCGGGCCTTGCTTGCTTGCTTCATGTAGGCCGCGATGGCTCCCTTCTTCCAAAAGCGACTGCGATGCTTCTACTGCGGCGGAAACTCTAGGCAGATATACAAGAACGCCGTCCGGCGGTGGAAATGCGAGAGCTGTCAGGCTGTCAACTATCTAGACGAAGTACGTTGCCCATCGAAACAGCTTGTATCTACACCTATACTAACGGCGGCAATGGGTAGAATGGCGAAATAACCGATCCCCCGGTCGCTGAAGTGTCGACAGAGAAGCGGTTCCATCGGTACGCTGCTCCCGTCTCGCCGTCAATATCATCGCTATCGCAATCCTTCGAGGAGCAGCCTGAGCAACCAAGCGCAGCCGACTCTGCCATCTTCTGCTCTACCTGCCAGAAGAACCAGTATCTCTTCACCCAGACACTGGCTTCGTATCTCCCGGACCCGTCACACCCCGAATATGCGGCCTACGAGAAGTCATATCCGTCTTATAAACGGAGCTTGGAGGAGCGCTACCCGCAGGTGTGCGAGAAATGCAAGCCGCGGGTCATCGATCGCATCAGACAAGCCGGATACGCAGCTAAGACAGACCATCTGCGGCGCATGATGGAACGTAGCAAGGGTAAATCAACCCGGAAGCGAAGACAGATGTGGAAGTGGAAGGGCCTGTTGGTGTCTACGGGGGCCTTTTCGTTCTGGTCAAGTGTTGCCGGCCAACTAGTCTGGGACGTCGTCGCCTTTACATCTTCCGCTTACGAACTGCAGGAGGTAGAGGTGGCTTCAATGTCGATGTCCTCTCTCGGAAGCCACTGCGTTTCTAGCTCCATCCAAAAACTTCGCATTCCCGGAGAATGTGCTACGTTTCTTGCACCTTATGCCGGCCTCTCGTTGATTCTCGGCGCATTTGCCCTCTGGTGGAATCCGAAGCTCAGACTGAAAGTTGAAGGCCATCATGGCCGGTTGATTGGGCTACGAGAGTACTATCGTATTCAGATTGTTGCTCTCATGGTCAGGTTCATGGCGTGGGCCGGTTTGCAAGATCCTGCAATCACGGGCCTGCATCCCCAGTTAAACCCGTCGATACATGCTTTTGTGGCTATATTTACCTTGATTGTAAGTCGTGCTGCTTTTCTCAGTTACCAATATCTCAAAATTGTGCTCTCTAATGCTGGATAGACTACCTTTGCATCAACATCTACTATCAAATTCGAGAAGAGACCGCTTGTTGATTGGCATGATCATACCGAGGAATTGTTATCCAGTACAAACAGCAGCGCTGGAACGCAGTTGAAGAGTCCTCCAGAGCCACAAGCCTCTGAGATAGGCAGACAGTCAATTCCTAAGCGATTCCCTATTGCCAGCCTCGCGCCACGCCGTTTGGCTACCCCCGAGCCATACATCCCACCAACTCCTCCACTAGACTCTCGACAGGAAGATGTCGATGCGATGGACTGGACTCCATCCCGGCCGTCTCTGCAAGTCCCGGTTAAACCTACAAGTCAGCAGGCACCAGCACTTTCTTCTTCAGTGCTCTTCCAGGGCCCGCTACCCCAAGTGCCAAAACCACCATCATGGAATCTTCGGAACCCAGTTGCGGGAAAGGTGGAACAGGTCCAGAAAAAACCCAACCCATTCCACCAAGCTCCTGTCTTACAGCCTACACGACCCTCTTTAGAGGAAGATGAGACTGAGACGGAGAATGAGGAAGATCAGAAGCATAAGCCGGCCCGGACTGATGCTGTCTTCGCGGCGCCTAAATTTTTCCCGCCCGGACTAACAGCCGAAACTGGCCTGGAGAACCTGTTTGACCAAGCTTTCTCCATCGCCGATGGACCGAGTGCCCAACAGAACCAGTCTGGTCAAGCTTCTATCAACCAGAAGTCTGCAGCTCCTGGAAACAAGCCAACACATGTCTTGCGATTTACTCTCCTGCTATCCTGTCTGGTCTTGTGGATGAGCACCAAGGTATATACCGAGCCCGCAAAGTCTATTGAGTCAGTGATACTTGGTATATCCTTCCTTGTTGCTGCCTTTTCATTTTTGGAGACCCTGATGAAGCCAATGGTAGTCTGGAATGTGACCGAGATCTTGCTGTCTATGTTTGAATTGGTATCTTGTGTTTACCTGGCTGTAATCCAGGCTCGTCAACTTGACAGCCCCGTAGGCCTGGATAATGCTGGGATATATTTGGTTTCTTTCATGATGGGACATGAAATGTTTGGACTTGGGCCTCTTCTGGCCCCTCACACAAGCCTGGCAGAGCCCAAAAATACTACTAAAGCCGCCGATTCAGAGACAAAGACAGACAAGAAGCCTTCTTCTCCTACGTCATCCGCAGCCGGATCGTTTACTACCTTGAGCATGAGCCAAAACAGCCTCTCTCCAGGCAGCCGGTACGCCGGTAGTCCCCAAGCGAGACGGCCACAGACTGCCAACAACAGGATGAGTCCCTATACCAACTCTCCACCAAGCGTTCTCCCCCAAAGACACCACAATAGCTTTCCTGACTTTGCAACGCGATTGAAGGCCACACCGCAGCCATCATTCACACCTACTACTGCATTCGCAGGCTATACTCCAGCCCCGGCCGCTAGGAGACCAAAGCCAACTCTGTCATTCTCTTCGTCATTTGACTCAGCTTTGCAAGACAGCCCCTTCTCCCCTACCTCTACAGCATCAGACTCTGCCTCGTCAGTTGCATCAGAAGTCCAAACACCCGTTTCCCGGCCTAAATTTTCAAACATAGGCCCTAGCAACCCCAGTCCCTCCATTATCAAATCTCTAAACCTCAATGACGGCCCAGCGCCTCGAGCCACGCCTAATGCACGGTATTCACTGCGTCAGAGGCGTAACTAAAAAATGGTACCAGACAGGCCACTCTTAACGCCTTCTTTCTTCGTCTTCGTTTGTTGAAAAAAGAAATACCATTTAGCTTATGTTACCCTTGATGATCCACATTGACTGGGCTACCCTCGTTCTGTACACACAAATTTAGTACTGCATACCTAGACAGTATATGGCGTTTTGTGGAGATTAGCGTCGTACTGAATTTTGATACCTTGACGTTCCCTTTTTTATTAATGCAATGTATGTGATGATATGAGATATCTCTTCTACCGTTATATTTGGTTTACCCAAATCTAGTCAGGGTAAGAATAGTCTCGAGATATATTCAAAAATAAGATGCCGACATGTCCAGATGTATATGCATTAAGAATCTGAGATCTAGATCTAGCTGACCAAAGAAAATAAGGTAAGCACAGAAGCCGTATATCACAGAATGAGCTACCCTGAATCCTGCCTAATAGCGAAGATATGAGTGAAAGTTCACTTTGCCTATTCGTCCTTATTCTGGACCGGAGAAATCGTTGGCCGTGTTGGTATTGTCTGTGGCAGCGGAGGGAGCAGGTTCTTCGCGGCCTCCCTAGCATTCTGTGCCATAAGAGCATCTATGACGACCAGAGCAGCCATGGCCTCAACGATGGGGACGGCTCTTGGTACGACACAGGGGTCATGTCGTCCCTTTGCTTCGAGAACACCTTCTTCAAAGCTATAAGAAGCGGTTGTCTGGGCCTGTCCAATAGTTGCCGGCGGCTTGAAGGCAACACGGAAGTAGATCGATGCTCCATTAGAGATACCTCCCTGGATACCGCCAGAGTTGTTGGTCTTGGTAGTCAGCTTCTTTCCAGAACCGTTAGTCTCTACCACGAAGGGATCATTGTGAGTTGACCCAGGAACTTCACAGCCCAGGAAACCAGAACCGATCTCGAAGCCCTTTGTAGCGGGGATCGAGAGCATGGCATGTGCAAGTTTTGCTTCCAGCTTATCGAAGCATGGCTCTCCCAGGCCAACGGGGACGTTTCTGATGATGCAGGTGACGGTCCCTCCGATGCTGTCTGACAGATCGCGATGATGTTCAATCAACTTGGTCATTCTCTGAGCAGCTTCTGACTGCGGACATCGAATTGGGGCGAAGGAGTCCACAGTCTTCCGGTCAATAGTCTCGATGAGCTTAAGGAATTCCGGGTTGGTTACCGGGCTGGGATGCTCGGGTGTGGGAGGGAAGAGATGCTCGTGTCCAACAGAGGATACGAAGGAGACTATCTCTACGTTATGGGAGAGCTTGAGATACTTCTCCGCAATAGCACCGGCAGCCACTCGACCTGGAACTGTGTGTTAACAAAGATACTACCTATGATAATATGGCGTAAGTATAGTACCAAGGAAGCCATACCGATGGTCTCTCGGGCACTGCTTCTGCCGCCACCACTGCTGGCCTTGACGCCGTACTTTTCCAGATAAGTGAAGTCAGCATGGCTGGGTCGAGGGTACATGTCCATGGTGCTGTTTCCATAGTCCTTGGGCCGCTGGTCTTCGTTCCGCACCACCATGCCTATTGGCGTGCCCAGGGTGATACCGAACTCGGTTCCAGACTGTATCTCGACCCTGTCCTTTTCGTTTCGAGGGGTTGTCAGGGCACTCTGTCCGGGTCTCCTTCTTGTCATCTGGGGCTGGATGTCTGCCTCCGTGAGCTCCATACCGGGAGGGCACCCGTCGACGATGCAGCCGACAGAACGGCAGTGTGACTCGCCATAGCTAGGCCTCTGGTCAGCAAAACTGATACGGTATATGTCAATGGAGGGAATCCGTACGTGGTGACCCTGAAATACTCTCCAAAGGTCGACATCTTGAAGCTCTTCTAGCTAGTTAACTCTTCTTGTACTTAACTAGCTGGACGGTGGGGTTGAACGACAGGCAGGGATTGAGGGCGTTATATAGAGACCTGCTCGGTCGCTGTGAGATCGGTCAGTCAGGGAAATACGGGCGCCAGTCTGGTCCGTCCAGAGTCCAATCGCTTGATCTCAGCCAGCCAGGTTCCTCCTACGCTCGACTCCTTGTCTTCTTCTTCTTCTTCTCGTCTTCGCCTGGTCGTCTTTGCGACTTTTTATTCTTTTTCCTGCGTGGCCCAACGCGGATGACTCAGCGCCGATGACGGATCTCGTACCTAAAGACTGACGGATCGAACAGATGGGATGACAGCAACGGATGGAACAAGGGAATTAACAACTGGCTGGCCGAGCAGAGAGACGCTGGAGGACGGGGAGCAGCTTCATCTCTGGCGGACCAGAGGCCGGCGGTGTCTGTCTGTCTACTGAAGTAATTGACGGGCAGGACTGCATGGTTGGATTGAATGAATACACGTCACGAAGGCTCACTGTTACTGCTCTTTTAGCTGGGGCGTGGGCTGCTTAGGGGCCTTTAACTAACTCTTAGGGGCCAAACCTAGGCTTCGGGGGGGGCGTTCCTTTAACTAACTCCCGGGGCTCAGCGCCTAAATCTCGCCCTAAGCAAGCCTCACGCCCAGGCTCGGCGCTGCCCGGGGGGTCGCCCTTAGCTTCCGCCGCATCTTTCTGGCCTTTTCTGGACGACGTCCGTCTCCTGCTTGCTGTCTACTTCTCTTCGAAAACACCCACGATGCCTCTGTAGCAGGTCAGGTTGGCTTCATGATTTCCGCCCGTCCCCTGCAGCCACTGCACTGGTCGCGGTCTCTTGGGAACTGCTGCCAATGGACGGCTAGCAGGCCAGCCTCGACGTTTGCAGCGCTCTCGTCTCGTCCTCAGGCCAAACTCCAGGTCTACCAGTCCATCTCCAGCGACCCCTTTGTCAACCTCTCCCTCGAGAACTTCCTCTACGAACACTCCCCGACAGACTCCAAGATCCTCTTCCTGTACATCAACAGGCCCTGTGTCGTGATCGGGCGGAACCAGAACCCATGGCTCGAGACAAACCTGCGCCTGCTGAGGAGCAGCACCGGAATTGAAAACAAGGGGGAGGGCGGTAATACCGTCAATGATGGAAGTGCCCTATTCGTTCGACGACGATCTGGTGGTGGCTCAGTCTTCCATGATGAAGGGAACCTGAATTTCTGCGTGATATGTCCCAAGCCGATATTCCATCGAGATAAACATGCCGAGCTCGTGGTGAGGGCATTGAAGAACGTTGGAGCTTTGAAAACAAGAGTCAACGAGCGTCATGATATCGTTCTCGGTCAGGATGCCCAGCAAGAGCCGTCTCCTCTGGTAGTCAAGGCTGGGCCTTCAGACCAAGATGCCGAAAGTCCACCGCTAGAGAAACCCGTTCGGGCCGTCAAGATCTCAGGTTCGGCGTACAAGCTGTCAAGATTTCGTGCTTTGCATCACGGTACCTGTCTGATTGATTCGCCAAACCTCAGGCAGATAGGACTCTTTCTGAAGTCTCCTGCTCGTCCATATATTAAAGCAAGGGGTGTTGAGAGTGTCAGGTCCCCCGTTGGAAACATATCCTCCGCCTTGGACGAATCAGTCCGGCCGTTCCTCATGCAGCAGATAATCGGAGAAATCATGAAAGAGTTTGCTCTGCTATATAATCTCGACCGCAATGCGTTGCGGAAAGCTCAAAGAGCCCACGCCAACGATCCGGAGCTGTCTTCGGGCGACGACTGGGTTACCGGCATCTTGACTGACGAAGACGCAAGAAATGAGCCCGAGGTGTGCAAAGGCATACAAGAACTACATGTAAGTCAGCACACCCACCCGCTGCTATACCGTTTACCCGATTCCTGTTTCTAACACTGACATAAATTTCCAGTCTCTTGAATGGAAATACAACCAGTGCCCCCAGTTTACATTCTCCACGCATCCAACAGAGGAAGATCCCCGGCCTAGGCCAGAGATATCACCTGCCCTCTCCCCTTCTGTATGTCTCAACCCTGCAAGCTCCGCCCCATTGCCCTTCCCTCCCTCCATACCAGATGTAGTGCACGAACTGACTACGATTGACGGTGTCGTGACTGCAGACCAAGGCGTTCTTCCGAGTTAAATCCGGTCTCATCATTGAAAGTCACATTTCTACATCACCAGACCCAGATACTGCACAGTATGAAGCAAAATGTGTTCATAAAATCCTGCATAACAAGCCATTGCATGAAATATTGGACTGGGCATCAGTGCTCAGTTCTGCTTCTGCACTTGCCAGCCAAGAGAGTGCACACCCTGGTGCCTTTGCGTCGACGTCTCCAGATAACGAGCTCTCGAGCCTTGCCAAGTGGCTCGAGAGTAAACTTGGACATTGATCCGTCAACAGGTTGACAGATGTTATTGACGCTCAATATATGTACAATATAAACGACATTGCTTCACTCACATTAGACTTGGATACGAATATAGAGTACATGCTTACGCAAAAGGTCGTGGCAGCTACTTTTACCATCTACCAACTGGTACTATCAATGACATAAGAGTGTGGCTCAGCAAGCTGCCGACATACGAGAGGAACTTGCTTACGGGGCATGGTCAACCAGCATACCAACGAACCCCCGGGAAATACAGTACAAAACAACGCACGGAGTATCGAACCGAATAACAGAGACAGAGTAATTCGTTCCACGTATTTAATCGGTGTTAAGAAGCGCCTCTTCAACTGGGGAACCATGCCTGTAATTTTATATAAAAACAAAACTCCATCATAAATGCATGCAGGCAGGATCTTACTCTTTGTTTCGTATGCCCTCGTGCCCTTATGTACCTATATATTTCCATCCCATTTGGAATCTTTCATATCTTTCATATAATACTCCGTGCGCAATATTCCCCGGGATACGAAGACACGGCATGGGGGCGTTGCTATCTTGCTCCCGTCTTCAGGATCTCTTTATATTGCGGCATATAGCCACGATCCCTATAGTTAACAGGGATAGTCAAACTACCTCTCGACCTTCGCTAACTCATACACAGGCATGCCAACATGACGAAGCAGATCCCTCTAAACAGTTACGGGAGCAGTTAACAAGCCTGCTAATTCAATACCTATGGCTGGATTCCCCTGCCTGTCCGCCTAGCTGACTGGTTACGAGTGCGCGGGCCCTTTGCCGCGGGATTGAACAATTTACCAACCCGCCTCACTCGGCTTTCCTCAGCCTGACTAGAACCAGCTTTGCCGTGTGTGCACTCAGACTGATCTTGTGCTTGTCCCATGTTGACTGCCCATATCGAGCAATTGAACTACCCCCTGTCAGGATCTTCGGCAAGGAACCTGGGGCGGAAAACCAGCTGCGATTATCACTTTGTTTGCCTTTACCCCGATGAGCGGGTTGATCTTCCCTCCCGGGCCCCTGCCTTCGGCCTACATATGCTGCCTGTCTTCGGTGCAAGGCATATAATAACTGCGCAGTAAGGCAGATAGGCGAACGGGGAACCAAGGGCAGTTGGAGCCGGAAAGGCTATTAACTTAGATGCTGCATGTACAGGGTTGAGGCGCCAACAGTATACTGCCCCTAGATATACCGAGGCGGTACAGGCAATAATGCGGGATTGATAAGGGCCAGATTGAATTGAATTGTTGATATAAATGAAAATACTTAAATACATGTATTGGAGAAACGAAAGATAGAGATGGCTGAAAAAAAAGGGCCCCTGAGAAACAGCCCACATGTCCGCGTAGAATCAATATCAAATTCCCATCCTTTCCCAGAAAAAAAAGCCAATCATGAAAGCAATCAGTGGGCATATAACCCCGTAAAGAGCATCTCGGTAGAAAGACAGAAGAAACGAAGTAGACAAGAAAAGAAAATGGGAAGAAAATTTCACACAGGTACTCCAAGATCTAAACTCCTCGCCTGGCCTACTGATTTGTTGGCGTTTCGCTGCTCTCCTCAGGGGCATCTGTAAACACATCATCGATAGACCTCATAGATTCAGAAACTGGGATTAATCCCTTCGCTTCACCTTTCTCATGGTCATTATAATTGGTGTCGACTTGCTTTTGTTTCATTTTCTTGTCTTCATCGCGTTCATCATCATCGTCAATGGTATCCCCTGCGCCAGCGTTGACAACTCTCAGCCTTTCCTTGGGCACAGTGAATGTAACCTGTACCACTCGTCCCTCAGCAGCTGCCTCGACATCCCAGTCTTCATCGTCAAAGTCATAATCATCCTCACTGCTTCTAAAGCTTGCGCCCCCTACTGCACTTCCAATCTCGGCGGGTGAAGACTCATACCGGGATTTCCCTTGTCGTAATATTGAACTGTCTCCCGATTTGCGTTTTGCATTCCAATCTTTGGCACCTTGCTTGCGCCTGAGGACCGAAGAGCTTGTGCTGACTGCTCGATGGGGACGCTGTGACGCTCCTGGTACGGTTTCCAAATAACCCTGATTATCTTCGTCCGGTAAACTGTAGAAGCTTTTTGTTGGGCTTGTACTTGAACTTCGCTGGTTTGATGCGCGGGAATCTGCCTGGTTAGGCGCTTTATTCGAGCCTCCAGATGTTTCTGATCTTCTTAACGAGCCAAGAACTCGCCGAATGGTCCCTGCTAGCTCTAAAGTTATAGGCCCTTGGCGTTGGTCTGCAGGTTGATTTGGGTCTTGCTGAGGCATCCATGAGGGGTTAGTACCTAACAGAGAGGACCCTTCTGCCTGTAGTTGAGCGTAGGAGAGCTGGGAGGATGGTCTGCCGGAAAAGGCGACTCGGCCAGGAACTGCTCTGTCAGAATCGGCTGTGTGCCCCCTTTCAGAACTACCATAGTTGGACGGGCTGCCAAAATTGGACCTCTGTGACACTGAACGATCTAACAACTTTGGATTCGTACGATGTGAGGATGATGAAGTGCCTGAGGTGCCAGATAGGTTGGAGAGTGTGCGGTCTTGCTTTTCTGATGTGATGCTTGGAGGCTTCTCTAGCTTCTCAGAGCTCAGCGTATGTACCCATTCGTGTATGTTCTCATCGTTGGCCTGCGATCTAGACTGATCCTCTGGCACAAGGGATGGGAAGCAGTCCTTGGACGGGGAAGGAGGGTCTTTGAAAGGATCAGAGTTGTTAGAACACTTGCTATCCCGACATCCGGCCGCCCCTGCTGGAACTGGCTGTATAGCATCGTATTCCTCTCCTTCATCAATGGGCTGGATTTGGGAGAATTTGATATTTCGTCTTGGGTCATCCTGCAGAATGCCTGGCTGGTAACCTCGAGATCGTACACTAGCCCGCAAGCCTCTAGTTGGACTTGGATTGTCTACCAAGAGACCTGTCCTTTCCGCTGCAAATGGAGAATTTTGGATATCGCTATATCCACCAAACCCGTAGTGCTGAGCAGAGTCTATCTGCATCATTTGCTGATCAGGTGCTTCAAAATGAGGCCGTTCAGCACCTAATGCAAGGCTCCGGAGTGTTTGTTCGCGGGCTTTACGGTGCTCACGGGCGCGTCGATTGCGGCAGACGAAGAAAACAAGCACAGCAGCCAAAGCAGCAATTGGAACCCCAATACCAAGGCCTACTCCAAGGCCGACTTTCTGCAGCGTTGTAGAGAGGGGCCCTCTGTGGTGTTCGTTTGGAACAGAAGCAATATCCGGGGGAGTATAGGATGTAACCCAAGTTCCAGAACTGGCGTTGAAGAGAAAGGTCTGGTCGTTAGCTACAAACTCGTTGCTCGAGCTTTTCAACGACCGAGGTGGTATCCTGTATCCTCCGGTTATAAGCATTACATTGCCGGGAAGCATGGCAGCTCCATGACCAAACACTCCTGTATTTTCAGAGAGTCCGTCTGGTGAGCTCTTTGGAGGGATTTCCCATGTCCAATCGCCAGCTCCTCCATAATCCTCGCCGATGTCAAGGATAGCTAGCTGGGGTTGTGCAGGCACAGAAGTGTCCCCAACCCAGCCCCCGAAGATGATAATTTTGCTGCCGTCTGGAGTAAGGACTGCAGTATGACCAGATCGCGGCTCAATTCCGGATATACCTTCTGGTAACCTTGCCTGGGATGAATCACTCAATGCTTGGTTGACTGTAACGTAGCTCCAGCTCTCCTCAGGGAGGGAAAATAGCACTATCTGTGACATGTTGACGAAGGCACTTTGCGTATGGCCACCAGCAAGAACGAAGCTCTGGTGACGCAACCTTGCACCAGTTGATGAATTTGAGTATGCAGGCACAAGAGGGGTCATACTGAAACCTGCCTCGGCCACGGGAGGAGATCTGATGGATAACGTTTCAATGTTGTAGTCTGGACTAGGGGAAGACATTGCCGTTTGGAGATAGGTCATATTCCTGGAGTACTCAGCATCTGCTATCCAGGACTTGAGTCTCGTTTCGTCGGTTGGGCACATCCCAGCAAACATGTAAAGGTCGGGAGCTGAATCACTTTCCGGGGTCGAAAATCCAATCCCGGCTGCGAGGTAGTTTGGCCCTCTCCATGGCATGCCACTTCTGCCTTTCTTTGGCTGAATCGCAGACTTGAGCCATTTACCATTCAAATCAGCCGTATCTTTCGCATTTTCAGTTTCAAACCGCCAAACCTCGGCCTTAGAAGACCGGCAATCCCCCGCATAGATTGTAGGGATGCCGTCTGGATCCGCAATGGGAATTATCGACTTTGCATCGTTGGGAGAGAAGGGGGGCGGAGCGATGTTCGAGAAGGACGGCGATACGGCATCGAATGGCCTGGTGAGGTTGATGTATTGAAACTTAACGTCATTGGATGTCGACGATATGAAATAGGCAACTGTGTGATTTGCAGCGGTGGTAGACACCCATAAGGACGAAGGATTGTATGGTAAGTCTGTTGCTGCTGCCAGCACTATGAAGGTGCTGGCAGCAAAAGTTTTGAACATTCTGAGTCCGCGACCCAAAGCGGTCGATCACCTAGGCCTGTGGTCAACAATATAACGTGGGCCACTCAACCTCCCATGATCTATCCCAGTGTAATAATGAAGCGGCGCGGGCCAGTCTGGTAGTTCCGAGTTGTCTGAGGGGAGACTTGACGGCTCACGGCATGGTCACAACAAACTGTCCAACGAGAAGAACAACAACTAGCAATATGGCCTTTCGAAATGATTCCCAGCGAAGATCCAAACTGGCGGGGGAGGTGAGAAGGAGGCGACAAAGTGATAATAATAATAACAAGATCCAAATTAATTATTGATGCAGTGGGGTGGCTGGTGACTCGCATCGAGCGCTGCTGGAGCTGCTGGACCCCTCGGGCTCTAGAACCAGGTTTGGCCTCTCGGTGGTCCAAACGTCATTGGTGGTCCAGAGGGTGAAGGCCAAAAATTTTTTTTTTTCTTATATTGCGAGTTCCCACTTGATCGCTTCAGCAACGGCCGCAGGCCTCCGCAGCTTCGTATACACAGCGGACATGTTGGCGTTGATGTTGTTTGGCAGTAAACAAAAGAAAATAAGCGCCGCGGTTGCCGGGCAACAGCCGAGGCGCCCTATCACATGATGGCGGCTCGCGTTTACTTTTAGCCGGCGGATGTTTGTTCCAACCTCACCCATCCATCGCTTGCGAGATATCAAAAGGAAAACGACGACAGGGAGGTTTGTGGTCCGTCCCTTTCTTTTCTTTTGCGATCATGATCTGCCTGCTTCACACCACCACGGCGGCGAGCAAGGAACAGGAACTAATCAACCTTCCGTCGCCGGGCTGTTGCAAGTGGTGCAGTCATCTCTCTCCTTCGCACAACCCCCCTCTGCAGCCCTCCTCGCGCATGTCAAGGTCACGCCTGAGTTCTTCAGCAGCAAGCAGAAGGTTAAAGTGGTTTCGGTGTTCTACTTGCGACTCCACGCTATGGGTGTCTTACCTGCCATCGTCCAATGTCGTCATCGAACGCGGGCACTTGCAAGTGAGGACCATACCACCATCTTGAGATAGACAGAGTGGCATCCTGACGGCTACAACGGAGTGTTACCACCGTCTATGACACGCTCACTAACTATCACAGCAAGTGTCCCTAGACGTATACTCAATACAAGGATAATCAGAAGCTTCTTTGCCTTCAAAACAAAATCAGCAGCATAGCAAGCTCACATGGCTATAAAAAGGCAGTTTAGGTAGGCAGTAGAAGCAAGGCTGTGGCCAAGTTCGGGCTACGAACAATATACGTATATTATTATTACCCGTGGCTGTGGCAACCATGGATTCCGCCAGCCCGGTCGCCCGCCTCTCTTTGTTGGAACGGCTGCAGTCGAAAGTATTATTATTATTTAAATTCTTTATGGTTTCCGATCACTTCCGCCGGGAGAAGTGCAGCAGTGAGAATGCGTGAGCAAGAAATCTAGTGAGTTTCTCATGCTGCGTCCACACGCTCACACTCCTTGCATATCATTGCGGCAATGCTTATGCAAGGGCAAGGTGCGCATACAACGATGCTCAAACCAGGATTTGTGGAAGGGTCGACCACACCCTACAATTCCCTCGCGTGATAAGAGATAACAAAGTCTACAATTTCAACCTTCAATCTAAAATTACTCCCAAAACTGGCAATAATAGGGCCATATGACAAGTTCCATGCACATTTAGTTGCCTCAGAAATGTTGTGACGAATTCCAGGATACTCGATTTCAAGGCCCAAGCCGTACTTTGGCTTCTGGAAAGCTGACTGGCGGATAACAGTTTCCCCTAAGTTCGCCCTTGCCCTTGAAGCTTATAAAGTCATGCGACTGAGGCAAAGTCGAGAAGCTTAAAAATCCAATACAATCTCGATTTCGGTTGCTCCGGAACGAGTAATTCTGGGTCTCGAGTGGTCTATTCGTGCTCCTCCATATACCGACACAGTTGCCCAGGGATGAAGCAGAGGTCGATCTCCATGTGAGAGCTGTGTAGCTCTGCCACCTCCAGCGTAGTATATTACCTTTTTCCTTTTTTGTTTTTTACTCACGAATATATGGTTACGGCGTATGGGACTGTATGGATAGTCAGTTATCTGTGCTATCACCTATCGCCGCCACGGGAGGAGGGGACAATAGTAACCGATGACAACGCCAAAAAGAAAAAGTGGAAGATGAGCTACTAACAACGGTATTCTGGGAGGCAAGCAAAGCCTAGAGGACCTGCGAAGTCCTTCGGAGGAATTATCCAAAAACCAACTTGTTATCGCCGGGGGAAAAGTGCCTATCATCCGCCGCCCAGTTATGTACCACACAGTTATGGAGTACATGTGTATGACAGATGTGGATTTAACTTTCGATGAAGCTGGGAATTCCAGCAACTATTACTATCACTCTGCAGCATCATCGTCCCCCTTTCACATCGAGAATGGGCGGCATGATAACTGATAAAAATGGCCAAATGGTAGGGTGCACCTATTCTCCCTACCCAGGTCCAGGTGGAACAAAAATCAGTTTCATATCGGCGATAAGAGGAGGGCCTGGCAACCATAGATGATGGCTCGAGCCCTGTATACAAACAAATGGTCGTACGGACATGCTCTCGAAAGGCTATTTCCTGGTATATTTTACGGGGTTGTCCCCCCTTTTTTCCACGGAAGCAAAACAGGGCAGGACTGGCGATGGAAGGAACATGCAGTGCTGCCTTGTATTCTACACGGAGCAAGAATGCCGTCCTCTGTTCGTCTGTGTAAGGGCTGCCGCAACTTTTCTTTGGCTATGCTGGTTACAATTTTACCACCTATGACGAGCGAGTGGCAGGCGGGTGTACCGACCAGAAGACCAAGATACCGGGATTCGTTGACAACACCCTCACCCACCCTAAAAGCGACTCAAAAAAAAAAAAAAAAAAAAAAAGGAATTCTGTAGCTGTGGCGGCTGAACCGCCAAAAAAGAAAATATACACACATTCATCAGTTGTAATCGACGAGATAAGTAAAGTTACATACGATGTAAGGAGAAGGTATGAAGATAAACGAGAGAGGAAGAGGGTCAAAGCACAGACGTGAACGGCGTCTTCGTCCAAGGGGGAATTTTTGTTTGCTTTTCTTCCTCTGCGATTCGTCCCTTGGCCTGGCTTCCGTTTCTTTTGGGGTAATGTGTGAGTGCCTGGACTGCGCAGGCTTCCCTCGTCTTCCCTTCGGGGTAATCCAACAGGATTGCCTACTTGGGCTGTTGGCTGTCTGGCGTATCAGATCAACGGTATTTCGCTAGGGTCGAAGAAAAATATATAGGTATCGTTTCTTCTTTGCGAGAAGACCCGGAGATCTCCCGAGTTGTGCCATACCTCGTCGTTGCATACAGTATGTGCATGTATGTATGTGAGATGGCCCGTGATATCAGCCCAACCGCAAGGTGGTTTGGAGTGTATCTTGCACCGGACAGTACTTATAACGGCCAACCAGAATGGATGGGTTTGAAAGTCACTGCTGTGAGAGGAGGATATGCTGTCCATCTTAGCATTTCTAGAAAGCGGGAGGGAAATGTATGATATATGGGTCACTTAACAGGCATCGTTATGATACGTATGTAGTTTAAAATCAAACAACTGTCGTGGAGTTTGGAAGGATAGGGCAGTGAGTAGTCCGTAAATCAACTTTTAGTCCACTGAAGCGGCCCAGATCGGCGGGAGGAAAATGCTGGTCAAAGTACCCAACGACTACTGTAATACGTCGACATCAATCAACCCTTGACTCCGAACTGCATAACTCGCCAACCTGCATGAGGCATCATGAATTTCATGAATGTGGATAATTAGTCATTATGCTCATGGTTGACCACGAGTCGGGGGCTATATCAGGGAGCAGATATAGATATATATCAGTTGTGCTATGTATGCCACCTGCGGGAGGCTTGTTTCAAGTTCAAGGTTAAACAGACAGACAGACAGTTAGACAACCAAAGCGGATCTCACACCCTCTTCGTCTCTGCTCGTGGACTGCGTAAGTTGGACAGTTGAAGACGTGGTCCCCAATAACGGTCTGCTTTAGTTTCTTCCTGGCAACCCTGTTTTCTTCCTTTTTTTCTCCCCCCGTCATTATTATTGCCCGCAGATGTGGGACACTGACAACTTGGTAACCATCTTTGATGTTGGTTGAAGACAACACCGCGGGAATATTTCAAGGACCAATAACTAGTGGTATAGGGTATAGCAGGTACTTGGGCCTTCCAATCCGTCCTTGAACATGCCGTGAGATATCTTCTCTCTGGCCTTGCAAAGCACCAAAATAACAACAGCAAGCCCAAGGAATGAAAAAACGCTGGTGCTTGGGCCTCCGTCAAGACCCACCACATGGGCCTCTTGGCCATGCCTTCTTGCTCGCTGCCAGTAAGTACAAAGTTGGCTGTGAGGTGCGATTGGCCGACGAGGAGAGATGGAGCGTCCTTGATCTGCTGCGTGTCTGTCCATCTTGGTGCTTCAGGGAGGGGAGGAAGTAATGGCATCCCGTAGCTCTGATGAGCCATCATTCTCGTACGGGATATTAGCCCGCCGTCAAGGGCGGGGGCCACTTTAAGGCTCAAGGGAACGAAGTCGTCCGTCGTATTTTATCTTTTAACTGTCGTGCTTGTTGAAGAAGGAGAATGATAAGAGTAAAAATGTAGACGCCGAGTTGACTCTCCTGTCGGTCTGTATATGCTGCTGCACGGCGCTCGAAGGGGAAGGGCATCCCCCTGTGAACCTTCACAGACCGAGCCAGGGGGCAGATGAAGAAGCCGTCAGGGATGCGACGCATCGCTGCTGGCCAGGAGAAATAATTACTCCGCCTGCCAAAGGTGCGTACCTATCCTAGGGAGGTCTTGCAACTAATTAATATGCGGCATCGAAGTAACTATATGCAAGTCACTCTATGTTCCGCAGTGGGGGGGGGGCGTACTTACATCGATGGGATATTATTGTATGTAATCTCGCCGTTTCTTCTTTCTGTTGGGCTTGCTCGCCTCTGTAGACGTCCAGGAAGAAAGGAATATCTACCTTCTTTTCTTTTTCACTCCGTTATCTCGTCTGCAATGAGTGATATCACTCTCTTCCCAGACGGGAGCAAAGAGTCCGGACTCGCCATCCCGTCGTAGTTACCGTGGCAGATACCGGGGATTCAAAAACGAATATCATCGTTATTTCGTTCTTCGTCGTCTGCCCTCCTGTAGGCTTTTCCTCTTCGCTGATAGCTTATGCAGAGTCAGAGCAAACGAGAGTCTTGCTGCGTCGTGGGACAGAGTGCCAGTAGAAGTTGCGATTTCAATAGCAGCGGA